TATATATATACACACATATCCGATTTAAAACCACATACTGAAACGGCCTGGGTCGGATTTGAAAAAATCGGATTTGTCTTGTTCAGACTGTCATAAAAAAATCGGATATGAGTCAGATGGGGCAAAAAAATCGGATTTGGGTCGGATTTGCCTGCAGTGTGAACGTAGCCTCTGTCATGTGGATGGAGGACCTCAGTGACGAGAGGAGAATGTGCAGCGCTAATCCCCGATGTTGAGTCTGCTGGACTTCTCGGCCGGCCTGCCATGCATCATTTTGGCGATGATGACGGTGGGGAGGATGGACCCCTGTTCACCTGAACGAACCACAAGATTTCTAGAACCTTGTTGACATTTGGGCTCCTTGGACTCCTCTGTAGACCAAAGGGTTCTTGAGTCAAACGTGAGTTTGTCCATGGACAGCTTGAACAAAACTGGATCCAGCAGAACCAATGAGCCCAAACACAGCAGCTGATCTACAATAGAACGGGTCAAAATGAAAAATATCAAGGTCCTGCAACGGTCCAGCTAGAGTCCAGAACTTCAGCCTGACTGAAATGCTGTGCTGGGACCTTCAACCTCAGTGAACTGAAATCACGCTGGAAAAAAGAGCAGGCCAAAACCAGAACTGAGTCATTTCTGCTTTAAAGAGGTTCTACAACAAAAATATTGTTTTTACCTGTTAAATTATGACATGGTGGAGACAGGAAGCTGCCCAGATATGGAAATCCCTAAAACTGAATGGATGGACTCAGATCTGTAGTTTGAGACGATTCTTGCATCAAAAATTGGTCAAATGAACTGTTAAAGAAAAGCTGGAGTTCAACCTTAAACTCAGAAGAACAAAGATGAAGTCAGTTGTCGGCCGTGTTTTGAAGCCATGCGAGTGAAGTCTGGGGCCTGGAAGGTTGGAGTAGATTCAGAATTAAAGGGGTCCAAGCAGGGGACCATGTGGAACTCCTGTGGTTTTGTTAAACATGTGATCAGGGTTTCCTGCTCTTTAAATTTACTATTAACCATGTTCTTAATAGAGAGGACCCGCCTAACAGGATGGCAAAAATGAGCACCATGTCGACAAGGCGGGTGTTCTGTCAGATCAGCATACATGCCGCTAATGCACATGCCCGCGCATGCGCATTCCGCAAAAGGTCCGCAGCTTGTAGAGGAGCCATCAGATCAGCATACGGCTGCATACACAAGATACGACAAAAAGTAAGCCAATAAATTGTTGTAAGGCTACATATGCATTCGATATTGTGTTTTTATGACATTAATACATGGATATGGACTGTTCAGCAACTTGATCCTAAAATCAATCGCATTGAGTCTGCATCGGCTCACCCCAGAGCTTGCGTGCTGAACTCCTGTTCACTCTGCTGACTTATGACTGCCAAAAATGAAAATGTTCGAGAATTAAAAGGAACAAAATAAATTGTATAGGTCCTCTGGACGGGTTCTTCTTTAATGAAACGTTTCGTCTCTCTTCCAAGAGACTTCTTCAGTCTGAGAGTTTCAGACAAAATTCAGGCTTTTGAGTCCTGCCTCCAGGTGGCTGATACATCACATGGCCATCGTTAAACAGAGGTGGAGGCCTCCGTTTTCAGTTGTCCCCCTCCTATAGTGCTGCCATTGGCAGTATCACCCCCTGTTAACAATAGATGTTAATTAGGTGTGAACGATAGCCATGTGATGTGAGTATCAGTCACCTGGAGGCAGGACTCAAAAGCCTGAATTTTGCCTGAAACTCTCAGACTGAAGAAGTCTCTTGGAGGAGAGACGAAACGTTTCATTAAAGAAGAACCCGTCCAGAGGACCTATACAATTTTTTTTGTTCCTTTTGATATTTTACCTGGATTACTGAGATGCATCAGGACATCTAGAGAGACTGTTACGCTACATTTACACCTAACACGTTTTGAGCATCAGGAGCATCTGGTTTACAGGCAAAGTCAATGGTGGATGCGCATCTAGGGG